TGGCAAAGTGCCAACACTTTCTTATTTTGCTCATAACTCAGTAACGGTTTATTCCGCTGCTTTCCGGATAGAAGATCCATTAGGATCAATTAACGGGCTATACAATGGTATAAGTTTCGGAAATTGATCCCTAAATCATTCCTACAGCTACAAATCTTCGCACTTTCATTATTTTGCTTATAACTCAATAACCTTTCATTCCGCTGATGTCTGGTTTGAAGATCAATTAGGATCAATTAAGACTCTAAATAATGGCATAGGTTTTGGTAATTGATCCTTACATCGTTCTTACAACTTCACAGACCTATAAAATTGATATATTTAAAAAAATATTCCAAAGCCCGATCCAACCCGACCCGAATTTTTTTTAAAAATATTAGGCCCGAACCCGATTCTCATACTTTTGCAGATCTCTAATAAGAATTATTACTGTTTTATTAATATACTCATTTGTTATCATTAAAATAATACATAGTTAAATAAAGGGATGTTATTTATACTAAAGTATTTTAAAAATAAATAAAATCTATAATGAAATCCTCTGCAAAATTTTGTTATATGCAAAAATTTAATTAAACTAATTTTTTTTAACATAAAATAAGATATATTGAGTGTCATAAAAAATGGGAGATAGGTGGGGGGGGGGCGATTTTATTCTTCTTTCTACACCGATTGGATTAAATTAATTTACAATTGACTAAACTTTGATAAAATTTTCAGAATAATGCTTTCAGTCGCGTAATAATCATAAATTTGGTCAAAATTTTGTTACTAATATTTTTTTTAATTTATGATAGCTACTATAGTGGTTAGACACTAATAAAGCACAAAAATTGGCAAATTTTTAAAATATGGCTTGGGGGCGAAGCCCCAAAAAAATTTGACACCCCCCCCCCCTCCATGGATCAATCCTGGCTACGCCACTATGTAAATATAATTTATTTTCAAAATTAAAATTATCTAAATAAATAAAATAGAATATGGAAGAAAGAGTAGTTCATATATTTAAAATTTGTATAGAACAGATATGTTATATAGAAAATATAACACCCATAATAAATTTAAAAATCAAAAATATATTTCCGTTAGATGGCGTAATAGACTAAAAATTTAGTTTGTAATTAAAAAAAATATGAATTATAGGAGCATAATTTTTTACTTTGGATTAATATATTTGTACAAGCTATATAATCATAAAATGAAAAAAAATTTAAGTTTCCATCATTATTTTTTGAGTTACGATGTCAATTCTCAGTTTAGTCAAAATTTTTTAGATTTTTGGGATTTTAAAAATATTTTATTTTTTTTCTTCATTTGTGTTACTCATATAAACATAAAATGAAAAAAATTTTAAGTTTCAGTCATTACTTTTGAGTTATGATGTTAATTCTCAGTTTAGTCATAATTTTTTATATTTTTGGGATTTTAAAAATATTTTATTTTTTGACTCATTATGTGTAAACTTACTCATATAAATATAAAATGAAAAAAATTTTAAGTTTTCGTCATTACTTTTTGAGTTATGATGTCAATTCTCAGTTTAGTCAAAAAAATTTTGATTTTTGGGATTTTAAAAATATTTTATTTTTTGACTCATTATGTGTAAACTTACTCATATAAACATAAAATGAAAAAAATTTTAAGTTTTCGTCATTACTTTTTGAGTTATGATGTCAATTCTCAGTTTAGTCAAAATTTTTTAGATTTTAAAAATATTTTATTTTTTTGACTGATTTTGTGTAAACTTACTCACATAAACATAAAATGAAAAAAATTTTAAGTTTCCATCATTATTTTTTGAGTTATGATGTAAATTCTCAGTTTAGTCAAAATTTTATAGATTTTAAAAATATTTTATTTTTTTGACTCATTTCGTGTAAACTTACTCATATAAACATAAAATGAAAAAAAAATTAAGTTTCCATCCTTATATTTTGAGTTATGATGTCAATTCTCTTAGTCAAAATTTTTTAGATTTTTGGGATTATTATATTTTTATGACTCATTTTGTGTAAACCTACTCATATAAACATAAAATGAAAAAAATTTTAAGTTTCCATCATTATTTTTAGAGTTATGATATCAATTCTCAGTTTAGTCAAAATTTTTTAGATTTTAAAAATATTTTATTTTTTTGACACATTTTGTGTAAACTTATTCATATAAACATAAAATGCAAAAAATTTTAAGTTTCCATCATTATTTTTTGTACTATGATGTCAATTCTCAGTTTAGTCAAAATTTTTTAGATTTTTGGTATTTTAAAAATATTTTATAGCCGTAATTGATAATGCGAAAAAAATAAGAAATTAAAAATCTGATGGCCAGAAAATTCGTAGAAAAATTTGGACCCTGACTTACTTTTAGTAAATTTTTACTACCCATAATAGGTTTGTTTGCAAATTTTGTGCCATGCCTCGGGCAATTTTTCTTAAATTACGCACCGGCTCGACAAATAATTTAGCTCGCCGAATCGAGTGGCTTATCGAAAAATGCAAACCTTTGGATCTTTTTAACTGAAATTGAAAGTTGGAGAAGAGACAATGCTTTTATTTGCCAAATATTTAACACACGTCATCTCTAGTATAGAAATAATGAATGATTCTTTTTATAGACAGTCAAATTGTTTTGTCCAAATTCTGGTGATAAATGTTTAGTGGATAATATCTTATGATTTTAGATAATCTTATTTTGGTCACCTCGTCGGTTTTACAATCTGCTTTATGAATTTAACGAATCAAATGCAGCGTATATATATATATAGTAGAAAAGTATTTCCTTAATACGATTAAAACATTTAATAAAATATAACATGTCGCTTATAAATGTTAAATTTATAAATAACTTTATAATCAAAAATATGCCTAAAATTTTAGCAACACTGTGGCTTGATGAGCAGCAACTTTTTGATGGCAGCATCAGTTTGATCAAAATTTAAAGGCGGCGGCACACCGATCTAATCATGTTCGACACAAGGAGTAATATAATAAATTTCCTTAGGGTTATAAAATTAAACAAAATCTGAATTTACTGCAACAATATAGAAGTTGAATGAAAGCCAAAAGTAAATTATCCAAGCTTAGAGATTTTGTCCATGGCAGAAAAGTTTAATCATCTATTGTCCAAATTTCAAGACTTGTGTAATAATAATTTGCTCGTAAGTCGTTTTTTAAATTTGGCAAAATCTTGCCGACTAACAGCACTAGCTTAATCCGACTCGTTAGAAACATAATCCTTTTAGTGTTGATATAATAAAAAAATTAAATGTTTTGTTAATAAAGACTAGACGACAAAATCTAATATAATTTACATATTAGAGAAATTAAGGGCACAATGGACCAGATTTCGCAAAAATCTTAAAATCTTATTAAATCATAAAGATGAACAAAAATGATTGCCAGTATCCTCAAACGGTATGTTGATTAATGATATATCATATGTATATAGCTCTTTTTTTCGTAAACTAATTTTTGAAAATTGATTTTTTCAAGTAAAAAAACATAGGGCACATTAGACCAAGTAACCTGGTATATAAGAACACACATAGAACCATATAAAAATATTTTTGAATAATGAAACATTTTTTTATTAATAAAGGCTATAGGAAACACTAAAAATTTTATGATCAAATAAAAAAAAATAATAATTTTTTATATAAATGGTCCTACGCACCCTCCCTAGTCTTCAGTCAGTCGTGATTAAATATAATATGAGAAAACTTTTATCATAGGAAAAAAATTTTTGTCGAGGTGTATATCATATTGATCATTTACATCATTAAATAATATATATATAATTAAACTCATGTGCCATCTTAGTCAGCTATGTCACCCCCCCCCCCCCCCAACATTTTATTTGCATTCAAAATTTATTTATATGATAATAGTATAGTGCTTACATATAAATTAATTTTATTAAAATTTTTAAAATGTGTCACCGCACGTCATTAATTTATTAGTGCAAACAAAAAATTAAGCACCGCTGATTTATATCTCGGCGTATAAGTCTAAATATACAAGGGATTAATTTAAAATATAAAAAAATTACTAAAAGATTTACCTTGAAGATATTTCAAAACAAAGATTGTTTGAAAATGCTTAGATTTTGTAATCAAATATTACCTAAAATTCCAAATCTTTTTTGAAAAAAGTAAACCTTTTGTGATTACTATTCATAAAAAATATTACTAAAAAAGAATTTCTGATCTTCTTTTAATCCTTCAATACTCCGGTGGGGTATATGAAACCCCAGGCATGCTAGAAATGATATTGCATAAAAACAGTTAAATATTATTATCTGGATTTTTCAGTAGCTTGATCAAATATATCTTAGAATCTATATTCCAAATTTCATACATTTCGGTTGAGTAGTTTTTAAGATATAAGCATTTTGTGACTGATTGGGGTTTGTGAGACCCCACCAGAGTAAATTTGTATGTTCTATATTTTTTTATATTTGAATGTATTAGTGTAATTTTTTTTTCATATTGAAGAATAAAGATCCAAGTTATAAATTATCATGATTATATGATATATAAGTTAATTTTTTCAATTAATATTTTAAATTTAAAAAGTTAGCTTTTTTTAGAAAATTTTGGGACAAATTATATTACTCCCCATCATTTTTAATTTAAACTTAAGAAATAAAAATAAATAATTATTTTATCAGGTTTAAGGTTAGTTCTATCTTATATCCAAATATTAAATCTAAATAATGAATATAACTGGAGATATATGCATTTGAAATTGGGGTTTATTAAACCCCACCCGAGTATTAACTTGATTTTTTTCACCGGAGTATTGAAGGGTTAAAAAAAATCTTAAATTTTATGATCTTCAAAGATTCTTTGCTCAAAAATTTAAAATCTTTGGATTTTTTCCAGACACTGAAATATACAATATTTATGGTATTTAAATAACGGTAGCAAGCCAACCAAAATTTTGAATGTAACGTTTGCCTAATATATATGTTATTAAATAATTATAACCGCCACGTTTTATCAATAATTAACAATAATATATATAAATATCATTTTTAAATATAAATTAAAGTTTGATTGGATATTCATATAAAACAAAATGTAAAAAAAATAGTGAGCAAATGTTGTGTCAAAATTTTACCAAATGGTGCTCTATGATTTAATTTAAAGAAAAATTATAAACCGATTTGAAAGGAAATGTAAATAATAGATTCAAAAATTCATTCTTTCTTTTCGTCTTTGGTGCTCCTTTAACCTGCATTCATACAATAAAATAACCAATTATTATATTATAATTTGAAGATATTCTTGTAGTTGTAGTGTAGCCTTAAAACAATTATCTTTTAGCATTGTCATGAGCATAAAAATTTTAATTATATTTTTTGGTCAAGAAATTTTAGAAAAAAAATTATTATTATTATCCAAATTTTGTCAAATAAAGCTTGAGAAATAATTTTTTTAAAAGAAATATGAAGTACAACTATTTACCTTAAGGAGTTGATTTTAATAAAACCGTTGGCATCGACTGGATCATAATCTCCTTTAACATCCATGCTCACTAGATCTTGATTATAGAGGGATAATTTTGGATCTGATGTTTTTCGGGAAATTATGTATACATGGCCTTTGAAAAGAATAACTTTCACGAAACCTGATACTAGACCTCGTTCACTCAATTCCAAACAAGATCGCGTGTACTCGCATTCCGGAGAAAACCAAAATCCATTGTAAATTTGCTCGGAAAAACGTTCCGCAAGATATCTAGCGTTTATATGAAAAGGTTTATAAAAGAATTATAATTCTGTAAGAGTTTTTAGGCCCAATGAGTAACCCACCTGCTTAGGAATCATATGGCAAGTTTATTAACATAATATTTAAAAAAGAGGGCCTTAAAAAATAAACTCATATATGGGAATGTGTTCTCTTAGATTATGATCACCTATTAAATTTTTGGAACAGGCCATGAAGCTCCTCGATAATGTTGGAGAAGCGGATAGGGGATTAAATATCGATGACATGCAGTTGGCTTTACTTCATGGAAAGATAGGACAACCGTAGCTTTAGTGGTGAGCAAGTGAAGGATTAAGTTACTAGGCCTTGTCGAATTATGAGAGGGTATAGAATACGTTACTATTTAACATAGTAATTGAGATGGTAGTTAGATATGCAAAAGCTTCTATGAGAGATCTTGTATGCAGATGATCTTGCCTATATTGGAAACAGTGAAAGAAAAGAAATTCTAAGATAAAGCTATAGAAGCAAAAGGATTAAAAATCAATGTAAAAAAGACCAAGGTAATTATCGGAGACGAAAGATTAAGGAGATCAACACTTGGCCATGGCGTATATGGCAAATGCTATTATCGCTGTGGGAAATGGGCTGACAAAAGTTGTAGTGGAAAAGGGGGAGTCTGGAAAAAGCAAAAATGGCATTTGTTGCTAGAAGGTAAGATTGTTCGAAATATCGGAAGGGTTGATACAAGTTATTTTAAAGAAATCTGAATTATTTTAAAACTTACGATTTTTTAAAAATATATACATTTTTTGATTATTTTATATTAAGTTTTATAAAAATGAGTGAGAGTAACAATAATCCTTTTTCTTAAAAAATCCATAAATTTTTTTTAGGGCTGTGCTGAAATTAAATATCTGATCGAAGTCGGTTTTTCAAAACCAATCCGATTTTTTCATTGTTTTTGGTTATTTCATGATTGTAAATTATATATAATTATATAATATTCTTTATTTTATACATAATTTATTTCTTAATAATAACTTAATAAAAGCCAAAATTTAATTTATTTGGGAGCTTTAAAAAAAATCAAATCATTTTAAATGATAAAGTAGCTAAAAATTTGATATTATTTTTTGAATTTAAAAAATATTTAATAAGTGACATTCAGCTGATAGAAAGGTATGGAAATTTATTACAGAAGCTCAGATAATAAAATTTTTGCTAAAATCTCGATTTTTCCGTTTTTAATATCTACTAAATAGAAATATTTAACAACACTTTATTCAGCCATAAACATTGCCCAACTTTTGGGGAATAAAAAAAGAAAGTACACTTAATCAGAGTTAGTTTATTTATTTTCTTGAAAGATTTATGGTAAATAAAAATTAATCTAAAAATCGGATCGGTGAAAAATTTGTAGATCGCCACATATTTTTATAACTTTATTTTTTAATCATTTTTATTTTTCATCAAAATAAAAATATTTTAAATTTGATTTTATATGATTTAAATAAAATATTCATAATAATATCATTATTATAGGGTTAATCTTGATTCGATTTTCATTATTTGCAGAAAAATTGAGATTAATATTATTATGAAATAATTACTAAAAAAAATAATTTAAACATAAACCTTGACCTACTACAATTTAATACGAGAATTATAGTGGAAATTTATTTTGTAATTGGAATACTTATTTTATAAAAGAAGTTAGTAAAGGGAATATCTGATTATAATTTTAAAAAATCCAAAAACTTAAAATTAAAAAGCAATAATGTCGATTTAAGAAAAGGAAGGGAAGTCTTCTACTTGTTATGCTTAGCGCAGATGAGAACGTTGATGTGATATCCTGAGCGCAGATTGGAATTATATTTATGCATGAAGAAAGTTCAGAAAAATATTAACTATTTAAAATTGTCTCGTTGGCGCTGAAGTAAAGGGTTTGTGTATGCTGTGCGAGATTTGATGTTATATCATAGCAAAACGGTCAATAAAGATGTCGTTGAGATGGTTCGAATATGTTGAATAAAGCGTGTGTATTGGAAATAGTGAGAATAAGACAAGCACCAAAATCAATTTGTGTGATTATGATGAATGGGTCTTAAATAACGATGCTAAAGATAAAGAAAATAAACATAAGAGGTGCATGGGACCTGGACCATTTAAAACAGATTCGTTCTGGCCAGGAAAAATTTTATAAAATTTTGTTTGCAGATCTATATAAAAACAGTTTATTTAAAAAAAATAATGCCTATTTACGATAAAGCCAATAGGGCGACATGCGCAAGCTAGATACAAGCATATCTGAATTTTTTACTGGTAGGTCCAGGCCTCAAAAAGATATAAATAATATAAACCTTTTTATTTTTCGAACTTCTCTGTCTAAAACAAGAGCTTCCAGATCTCTGTGAGCTTCGAATAAAACGGTGAAAGCAGGTGTCTCGTAAATCCCTCTCGATTTCATACCCACAAATCGATTTTCAACAATGTCTAAACGACCAACACCGTGTTGTCCTGCTATATGATTGAGTTTAATAAAAAGGGATAGCGGATCATTTTTGATAACCATTAAAATATTGTTATCTCCCACAGAGTCATTAGAAAATTCTTTGCCATGAGATTTTTTGACCGAAGATTTATTAATCAAATCATCTTTTGTGAGTGTGTGGCCACCCCCTCCCTTGGAATAATAAACAATCAATTTTACTGGTTCCCCGGACTTAAATTCAATTTCTATTTCCTGAGGCTGAGATGGAGTACCGGAAAGACAAAAATCAGTGCTAACTTCTGATTTTAAAGCACTCACATCATCTTTACCGGCGTGTTTAGGTCTCTTTTTAGACAAGTCTATGCTATTCATGTTCTCGGAATCCCTGTGTTTAGTTAAATCAGTAAAAGGGTCAGCAGTGGTTTGGTAGAGGTCAGACGGAGCTGAATTGTAAGGATCCTCAAGAAGCCCCGATTCATAGGAGGTGTGCATAAGGTTTGCATCAACGCTCCAAGGAGTTTTGGGTGTCAAAGTCGAAGGCAATGGGACCCCTTTGCTTTTAGCATATTCAAATAATTCGGGACGGCCGGGGAATCTTTCATAAAAAGCTGGGATTTTCCAGGGAGCGATGATCTTTAGAGCGGGATAAAGGGCGTAACAAGCTAGCTCAAAACGGACTTGATCATTTCCTTTTCCCGTAGCCCCATGGGAAACATATTGAGCTCCTTCCTCTTTGGCTATCCTTATCATCTCAGCCGCTATACAAGGGCGGGCGATAGCCGTTCCCATCATGTATCGGTCTTCGTATAGAGCTCCTGATTTTAGCAGTGGGTAAACGTAGTCCGTTAAAAATGAAAGTCTAATATCTTTCACAATTACCTTAAGTCATATATTTTCCAATGTTTTGAACGTGATTAATAAATAATATTAAAAGAATAGTAAGTAAATCATTAAGGATTTATACTTATAATTCAAGTTTATGTCCTAACAAAGCCTATCCAAATGAAATAATAATCTTAAAAACTATTTAAATCCGTTTTAATCTAATGATTATAGTTGGGTAGTGGCTCTATTTAGTCAAAAACTATCATTTGAACTTGGGTATTTTTGAAAATATAGCGAAACTTTAAGAAATCAAAAATAAATAAACTCGTGTCTCAATGCTTAGCGGATTTTCTATTGTAAGAATATTTATAACTGCTTTTAGACATTGCCCATTTATATTAATGGTCTATTAATTTGAATGATATTAATAAATAAATGTATATAAACCAATTTAATAATCAAATAATTTTTTATAAAATAAGGGTAGGGAATGTGGGAATCTATTTTTCCCTCAGTGTATTCTATCCAGGGGGAGGTGACATTTTACAATTAGGCAAAATTATGTCTTTTTTTTATAAAAAAATATTACTAGCCGGGCAACTTGTACAAATTTATTTAATTGGCTGGAACAAAAAATCTTTTCATTTTATTGGGCCGGCCCATGGTAACTTCTAATTTAGCTTATTAATTAAATTCGCTAAACTAAATTTCTACAGGAAGTAAAGCGAAATAAATTACATTTATAACTGAAATTATTTCTAATTTATATGAAAAATCTATATAATTATTATAAATCAAATAATCTGAAATTTATAAGGGGTACTCTGCAAATACATTTATTAAATTTTTCTTCAAATTTAAGTAGTAAATAAATGATTTAAGGCTGAAAGATTCTGCCCTCCAATGGATTACATATTCTAATAAGACATATATCCTTGCGATCTTTTTTTATAGAAAATATTTTAGATAAACGTGGTAACTTTTGTTCTTCATGCCATGAACAGAAACATTTTCAAAGGGTTAAAATCTAAGTTCCAACTCCGATAAGTCAATAAGGTCAACTAAATATTGGTAATTTTAAGTTTTATTTATATTTTCACTCTATTTAAGATTTTGTCACAATTCAAGTTCCTTAAACCCATTATCTATTTTAATCATTAGTAGCGGTGAAGGTGAAAATGCTTTTGCTGATTGAAATAGAATTATTTAAATATCTAACTTTCAATTCTATTAAAATCTTCATTTCATATATCTATTGTCTTTTAAATTCTCAATTGCCTTTATTGATATCATAATTAATTTGTCAGCTTTATTTCATAACTTTAAAAAAAAATGATAACGTTGATCTGAGGGATAATATAGTGTCAACATAAACAAATATACGATGGTGGTCTATTTTTAAAAATTCTAGTAGTGTAGCCATGGTAAATTCGTGGAGGATACGGAACCGAGTTAATTCTGATGATAAAAAATCATTATTTATACTTAGGCATGAAATAATTAAGACACTTTTAAACATTCCCTTAAACGAAAAGAGGGGTACAACTAGAGACATACACAGGCTTTCCGCCCAAGCAGAGTTTCGGGTAGGTTATGGACATTGAAGATTTTTCTCAGGCTAGAAATGTAAAAGATGCCCGACCCATAAATATTAAAAAAAGAGAGTGACTTGCTTTAAGCCTGATAAACTTGACTCATCATTATGTATATATCATATCCTACTCATCATTCTAAAGATCAACCCAACATATCTTCAGTCCTTTTTCAAATTCCTCCGAAGAAGACAGTCTTTGACTCTATGCCTTCTCTCGCCAATTTATTTGCTGTCGCACTCCAATAGCGGTGCACCGAGTGCTGCTAATTTCAGCTCTTATTCTAACAGCATCAACAATAATTTTGGACATGTTGAGAGATGCGATTACAGGAACGACGGTCTTGATGACCCGTGATCCTTTTTCCTCGGGTTCTTCCTTTAACAATAAAGAACTTAGAAACCAGCTTAAAGACTTGAGAGGCTAAATGAAGATTTTTGCTAGTGTTATCTTTAATGATTTAAAATCGGTTGACTACATTTTTTAATGATTTTGAATCTTCTTATCTTAATAATTTTATACAAATACAATTGTTAATTTATAACATCAAATAATTGAATAAAAATATTATGCATTATAAAAATTATTCACTATGTGATTCTATTGATAATGATAATGTTAAAATAAACAACAGCGATATCAGAATGGAATTAGATACTGGAACTGGAGTAAGCATAATTAACGAAATAGATTGGAAAAATAAACTTAATTGTCCTGGATTCACAAATTGCATGCTAAAACTTAAAAGCTATATAGGAACCAACATACCACTATGTAGGGCTGTGCTGCCGATATTAAATATCGGATCGGATCGGTGCCGATATTTAACGTTTTCTGAAAATATCGGATAGGGTGTACCCGATCCGATCTTTTTACTTTTCTTTTTTTTGTTATTTTATTTTATGTTATGTATATTTATTTTACATTATTATAATATTTTCTAAATTTTATTTCGTTTTTAAAATAGATTTATAGTATTTTAAAAGTTTTTTTTATAAAAATAGAAAGGAACACCCAAAGTTTTATTTATTTTAAATCTTTTTAAATAACGCCAATTTTTTTATTTATACTTTAAATAAAAAAAATTTTTTAAATATGATATCTGAATTATGGAAATATTTTACAAAAGACAAAGATAATTTTGCAAAATGCGTTATTGCGTAATCATCTGAGTCTGCATTCAGTACGGCAGGAGATATAGATAGTCCATATCGTAGAAGCTTATTCCCAGAAAATCTAGAGGCTCTCATATTTATTTAAAAAATCTAATATATTATAATTTTATATATTAAATATTACAATTTTATAATTCCAACATAAAATAGATATATTATTAAATATATATTTTTTTATTATAGTTTTAATTGTAGAAATAAAAAAAATTAAATTAAATTCATAATTCGAATTTTGCATAAAAAATATTGATTTCTTAATTACATTTGGTTCAAACAGGGGTGATTAAAAATCAGTAAAAATATCGGATCGGTGAACAATATGTGGATCGTCATAGCCCTATTAATATGTTCATTATAAATTATTCTATAAATTTTTTCTATATATAAACAATTATATCTTCTTTTTTCGATATAAATCATGCAAATTATTTTTATATAATAAAATAACTTCCAAATTCAATTATATTTTAACTTTACTAATTGAATAAAATTTATATGTACAAATTAAATAAAATGCAACTATATATGAATGATTAGATTATGGGGGTTAAATAAACTTTTATTTAAGGTCGATAATTTTTAATTGTTTCTTAGATATTATAATTATTTAAACTCAATGTATAAAATTTTTTTAGTCGGACTTTGGTGAAGTTGGATCTAAAAATATGTTTTAGGGCTCGGACAAAATTTTTTAAATAGGCTCGGGTAGATCTAGTGCTGAAAAAAAATTATCTTAAAAGTGCAAGTAGAGGCCCCCTTAGTAAAATAACTGATTTCTATAAAGATTACTGATAAGAGAAAACGACGGTGTAAATTTGGAAGATATATTTAACATGTCATATACAGGGTTGCCAGGTTAACATCTTCAAATTGCGGAAGAAATTGGTAAAAGAATTTTATTTTGTGGGAGAAATATAAATTTTTTTTCAAAGCGTGCGATTTATCGTTTTTACAAAAAAATATTTATGGCTTTTATTCCAAGGTTATAATACTAATACATTTTAAATAGAATTATTAAAAATCAAATTTTGATTGCTAATACTCTAAAATTGTTTTAGTATAAATATCTGTTTCATTGTAAATAGCCATTAATTAGGATTGTCACAGTTAGTGAGATTTTGACTTTATCAGGTTCATTATAAATATTCATTAATTAGGGCTGTCACGTTAGAGAGGATTTGAATTTTAAATGTAATCAGGATTAGTCACGATTTATATTTTTCTATTTAGATTTAAATATCATCGTGTTTTGATTATGAAGTAATATTTTTATTAAAGAGATTTAGATTTATAATTCGATTTTTATGAACACATCCTGTTATTTGATTTTTTATTTTTATAATATGTTTATAAAATTCCAAATCTAAAGATAAAATTTATAGGATGTTGATTGTATCATATTGAAAAATAATATTCATATTGTTTGTAAGTTCTTCATAAAAATCTTGCCCTGAATTCAGATTCAGCACGATTTCGCCTTGAGTATATAAAATTTGGCTAACTGTGAATTCAGGGTTTTACATTTTAATAGATGTAGAATTAAAATTTTTTAAAGGAATAAGATTGTGAATCTATATCATAAAAGTTTAGAATTTAACATGAGTTACAACCCTCTTTAGTAATTACTCTTCAAATTTTTATCAAATTTTAAGCAGGATACAAGGGACGATTATGGGCATAAAAAATATCATTTGTTTTTTTTGTTCCGTCAAATGGTATCAACATATTTCTCAAAAAAATAAGAAAGTTAAAGAACGAAGATTGTGATAATTGGCACTTTTCTGAATTATTTCAATAAAATTTAAACACAATATCTTTTTTAAAATGATTTCTCAAAAAATATTGGAAAATATTTAAAATAACGATTATGACAATTGTCACTTTCCTATGGTAGCTCTTCATGAATTTTAATTTGACATTTTTACAATCTATATTTTATCCATTTGCATCAAAAAAAGTAAAAAACTTTAAAAATAACGATTATGACAAACTTATCTAGGGTACATCTTCAATGAAGTTTTCTTTAAACATGTTAGCAATACTTATTTTAGTCCATTTACGTCAAAAAAATTTAAAAATAACGGTTATGATAATTGTCACTTATCTATTGTACATCAACACTAAATTTTTAATTTAACATGTTGACAATCTATATTTTTGCTCATTTGTGTCAAAAAAATTTAAAAAATAAAGATTATGAGAATTTTTATTTATCTAAGGTACATCTTCATTGAAGTTTTATTTAAACATATTAGCAATGTTTATTTTAGCTCATTTACATCAAAAA